GAGCCAGGGGCAGCACAGGCTGGCCTCAGCCCCTTCCAGGTGCCTGGGGGTGGCCCTGCACGCAGGACAGGGGGAGGCGGACCCACCAGCACAGGAAATACCTTCTGGACGCAGCAACCCGAGTGTGGCCGGGCTCATGGAATCTTTGGAAGTAGGTGTTGTTGTCTCTCTTCCCCCGTTCCAGGCGGGGAAACTGAGGCATGAGAGGCAGAGTTACTGAGACCACGTCATTCACAGCTAAGAGTGGAGGCCCGGGCAGTCTGCCTGCAGACACCATGGCCTTAGGCCAGTGTTCGGCAAACTCATTAGTCCACAGAGCCAAATATCAACAGCACAACGATTGAAGTTTCTTTTGAGAGCCAAATGTTTTAACCTTAAACTATATAGGTAGGTACATTGTTATTAACTTAATCAGGGTACTCCTAAGGCTTAGGAAGAGCCACACTCAAGGGGCCAAAGAGCCGCATGTGGCTCGCGAGCCGCAGTTTGCCGACCACAGCCTTAGGCTGTGAATAAACAGGAGGCAGGGTGGGGGCTGGGCCTCTGAGGCCCGGTCACACATGCTCCTGCGTGGTCCGATCAGGCCATGGTCCCAGGGGCCCCGACCCCGGGACCTGTGGAGCAGGGTTGCAGGTCACAGAGCTCCTGCGTGGTCCGATAGGCCATGGTCCCAGGGGCCCCGACCCCGGGACCTGTGCTCTTGAGAGAAGGCGAGGGCGGCCCGCCTCTCGCGCACCCATTTCACGGAGGAGCTGGGCCGTGGCCTGGAGACCTGGTGATGACGTGGGGGCCCGGGGCCTGGGGCGCGAAGACTGGATTTGCTTCCTCAGCTGCACCCCCTCCCCCTGTCCCTCCCCAGGTGGCTGGCCTACGTCCTCCTCCTGCTGCTGGAGCTGCTGGTCTGCCTCTTCACCCTCCTGGGCCTGGCCAAGCAGAGCAAGTGGCTGGTGATCGTGTGAGTCCGGGCGCCCTCGCTCGCGGGCTCCTGTCCCAGCGCTGGGGGGGGCAGAGCTCCATCCCTCTGTGCTCTTGAGCGAGGGGGGGACCACCCATGAGCCTCCATGACCTCCATGGAGGCTCTTGAGAGAAGGCGAGGGCGGCCCGCCTCTCGCGCACCCATTTCACGGAGGAGCTGGGCCGTGGCCTGGAGACCTGGTGATGACGTGGGGGCCCGGGGCCTGGGGCGCGAAGACTGGATTTGCTTCCTCAGCTGCACCCCCTCCCCCTGTCCCTCCCCAGGTGGCTGGCCTACGTCCTCCTCCTGCTGCTGGAGCTGCTGGTCTGCCTCTTCACCCTCCTGGGCCTGGCCAAGCAGAGCAAGTGGCTGGTGATCGTGTGAGTCCGGGCGCCCTCGCTCGCGGGCTCCTGTCCCAGCGCTGGGGGCAGAGCTCCATCCCTCTGTGCTCTTGAGTGAGGGGGGACCACCCATGAGCCTCCATGACCTCCATGGAGTTCCCGGGTGGGACAGAAACCAGACCTGGAGCCGCCAGGAGGAGGGGCGGGCCGGCATGCAAACAGGCCGCCTTGTGGGGGAAGCGAGGAAGCCCTAGTGTGGATGTGAGTGATGCTGGCGCTGAGGGTGGCAGTGATGGCCGACATCCACTGCGGGCCGTGCACCTGACCCCTTTGCTGTCACCACAACCTGGGAAGGGGGGGCCTTGTCAGGACCCATGGAGCCGATGAGGGACCAGAGGCGGGAGGTGACCACGCGTGAGGCTGCGTGGTCATGACGTGGCTTTCGGGCTCATTCTATGTGCCCCAGGAGGAGGCACTTTCCCTCCATTGAGGCGGGGGGCGGGGGTGGGGGTGTAGATTCGGGCTCAGAGAGGTCGGGCCACTTGCCCAAGGCTGCCAAGCCAAGCAGTGCTGGCTCCAGAGTCAGCTCGGCCAGCCTGTGCCATTTGGGGGAGCCCTTGCCTCCTGCCTGCCCCTGGGCTGGTGTCCCCAGTGGGGAGAAGGCTGTGCTGGTGACCACGGGGTCTCCAGTCTCCCCCAGGGGCTTGGAGATGGTCAAACCTGGCCCTGGTCGGTCAGGGCATGGATTGGGTCCCCCAGATGCCCGTCATGCCTGCTGCCCACCCTCCAGTGCTACCCCCTCCCCCCAAACCCCATCCCTAGAGAGAAACCGGGAGGCGATTTCAGCCCTGGAGCTGTCTCCACTCCTGGGAGGAGCAGTCTGGGGGGGCAGGTGGCTAACCAAGGGAGAGCCTGGGGGTGCGCTTGGGGACGGCCGGGTCCCGGCAAAATTCACAGCTGGGAAATGGGGCCCAGCGGTGGGCAGGAGTCCCCTCAGGGGCCCAGAGGATGGGGCAGAGCTGGGCTGGATCCTGCCGGACTGGGCCCTTCTCACTGCCCGCCCCCCTCCGCCCCCTGGTCAGGGACGGGATGTTCAGTCTGACATTAACAGTCACAGGTTCACCCACCCCTCCAACTTCTCTGCCCCTGATTTTGATCCTCCAGGCTCCAGAGGTCGGGGGTAGAGCTGTGATGGGATTTGGGGTGGGGAAAGGGAAGAGGCCAGAAACCCCAAACCCCCAAACCCCAAGTCCAATCCCTCCCTGCCCCCCAGGATGACGGTGATGAGCCTGGTGGTCCTTGTCTTGAGCTGGGGCTCCCTGGGCCTGGAGGCAGCTACCGCTGTGGTGAGTGCAGAGGCCGGGCTCCTGGATCGTGGATCCTGTGGGGGCCAGGGTCACAGGTTCTGAGGTTAAGGGGCTAGTTTTCTAGGTCCTGGGGGGCTGGACTCCTGGGTCTGAGGGAGGAGGGGCTGGGGGCCTGGACTCCTGGGTCTGAGGGAGGAGGGGCTGGGGATGGGGGCCTGGACTCCTGGGTCTGAGGGAGGAGGCTAGGGTCACTGAGTCCCTGGGGGTGTGGCATTTGAGCAGCTTCTGCTCTGAGCCCCCTTTCCTGCTGCCTCTCTCAGGGCCTCAGCGACTTCTGCTCTAGTCCCGACACCTACATCCTGAACCTGACGCAAGAGGAGACTGGGATCGACTCAGGTGACCCCAGTGGTCCGGTGCACCCCCTGGATGCTCAGGCCTCTGTGTCCCGTCCTGCCTGGGGTGTTGTGGGGTGGAATGGGGGTGCCAAGCTGTCAGCCAGGCCCGTCCGGTCCCTGAAGCTCTCAGCACCCCCAGGGTGGGCTGGAGAAGACGAGGGATGAAGATGCTGGGCTCAGGAGGGGGGCGGGGCCTGAGGGATGGAGAAACTGGGGGCGCACAGTGTGGTCCAGCCAGGGCCTCAGAAGCAGGTGGAGGGTGGAGACCAGCGTGTTTCTTTTAGGGACTGGGCGAGGCTGGTCTCCGAATGCCAGGCCACTGGGAGCTCAGGGGGGTCCTGAGCTGGGGGGTGGGGGGCCCACCCGGCTCACGGCCTCCCCCTCTTCCCTCCCGCCTCAGACATCCTGAGCTATTATTTCCTCTGCAACCAGGCCATCTCCAGCCCCTTTCAACAGGTGAGGACTGCGGCCAGAGACCCGGGTGGAGAGGGCGAGGTTGACGCCTGGACTTCGGGGTCCCGGGGGAGGATGAAGGCGCCAGGGACCCCAGTCCTGTGTCCCGAGGGAGGAGCCGGCTGGGGGCGCGGACCAGGGGGTTCTCCTCCCTTCCTCCCTCCCTGTGTCCCCGCAGAGGCTGACCCTGTCCCAGCGAGCTCTGGCCAACATCCACTCCCAGCTGCAGGGCCTGGAGCGGGAAGCTGTGCCCCAGTTCCCTTCCGCGCAGGTGGGCGCTGCGCATGCCTACACCCGGCTCCCAGGGAAAGGGCGGGGCCAGATCTGTGGATGCGGGAGGGGCCCTCCGAAAGGACGGGTCGGTGGGCGTGGCCCTGAGATATGGGCGGGGCCACAGAAAGGGAAGGGGCGTCGAAAGGGCGTGTTTGGTGGGCGTGGCCCGGACATGGGCGTGGTCAGGAGAGTCTACTAGTGGGCGTGGTCCTGAACTGTGGGAGGGGCCCGCTGAAAGGGCTGGTCGGTGGGCGTGGCCCTCAGATTTGGGCGGGGCCACAGAAAGGACAGGGGCCAGAAAGGGCATGTTTGGTGGGCGTGGCCCCGAGCTATGGGCGGGCCCGAGGAAAGGTCGGTGGGCGTGGCTGTGGGTGGGGCGTGGGAATTAATGGTCTGGGCGTGGTCTTGTGGTGTGGGCGGGGCCCGGACTTTTAGGTCTGTGGTGTTGGCGTGGCCCGAATAAAGGGGCGTGGTCTGTCTGGAGAGATGGGCGGGGCCAGAGGGTTGGGTCCGTGGGCGTGGCCTGTCTGTGTGGGCGGTGTCTGAAGAGATGGGCGGGGCCCCGGCCAGGGACAGGTCCCGGGTGGGACAACAACCCCTTCCCACCGCAGAAACCTCTGCTGTCCTTGGAGGAGACGTTGAATGTGACGGAAGGAAACTTCCACCAGCTGGTGGCGCTACTGCACTGTCGAGGCTTGCACAAGGTGACCCATGACCCCGCCCCACAGCACTCTCTGCCTGGACCCTGAAGGGTCTCCTCCCTCCCGCACCCTGCCAGTTTTTTCCCATTGCCCCCCCCCCAATCCCCTTATCAGTCAATCTATTGTTTATATATCACATACTATTCTCTACCCATTAACCATCTGTCCATCTGTCATCTAGAATCCTTATTTCCTGCCTTCCTATCTCTCTCCCCACCCCTCATCCCTGCTCTGTCCTCATCCCTCGCTTCCCCCTCCAGTCCACCCACTCTCCTCCCTGTCTCCCCTCTCTCCCTCCCTGTCTCCCTGTCTCCCTATCTGCCTGGAGGGAGACGGCCTTGGTTGCAGCCCCAGCTCTGGAGCTCAGGCAAGTCACCGACTTCTCTGTGCCTCAGTGTCCTCACTTACAGGGCCGGGAGTCAGGGCTGAATACCTGCCAAGCTCTCCTGTGGCGCATGCTGTCATCCTGCCGAGGCAGGGCCGGGCAGGACACCCAGGAGAGAGGGATCCCGGGGTCCCAGACTCCTTCCAGTCTGGGCTCCGAGGCGGGCGGTGTGGCCCCCGGCAGGCGCACCCCCTGAATCTCCGCCTCCTCGCCTGTGAGATGAGGGTGTGGGGACCCGCTTGGCAGGGTGGTTGTGAGGGTGCAGGAGAAAATCAGCCGTCCCCCGCGTGCCCGTGGGCTTCACTAAGTGGGGGCTCTGGGCTATTTTAGGGGTGGTGACTCATCGGGCCCTGGAGCCCTCTTAGTAATGCCATCAAGAAGAAACTGCTGTTATTGTCTGTCTTGCAGACGTGGATGATCAGGTACACAGGGCTGGGTCACCCGAGGTCACAGAGCTGGCCCTGTACTCCACGGAGGCAGGGACCTGGCACCAGGCCCTCACCCCTCTCCGTCCCCTTCCCATAGCCCCCCAGGCAGGGCGTCACCAGTCTTGTCACTTCTGCCTCCTGAATGTTCACCCACTGTCACCCTGCCCCCAACCCCAGGGGTCTGCTGCAGCTCAGGCCAGCGACCTGGCCCAGGGGACACGGTGCAGTGCGTGGGGGTGTGTTTGGTTGTCACAACTGGGGCGGTGCTACTGGCATCTAGCAGGTGGGGGGTGGGGTGGGGAAGAGGGTTCTCAGTGACCGGCAAGAGGCCCAGATTTGAGGTCCTACCTGTGGGTGTGATCATGACAGTGACCGCAGCCCCTACTGTGCGCCAAATGCTTCCCGTGCGCCAGGCTCTGTGCTGAGCTCATAGGACGGGGAGGAAACTGAGGCACAGAGAAGCTGAGTGACTTGTCCAGCATGGCACAGCTGGCGTGGGGGCAGTCTGAGTGGTGTGTGTGTGGGGGGGGAAGGGGCCCTGTCCGCTGATGGCCTCCCCCGCCCCCCAGGACTACAGCGCCGCCCTGCGGGGCCTGTGCGAAGACGCCCTCGAGGGCCTGCTCTTCCTGCTGCTCTTCTCCCTCCTGTCCGCGGGGGCCCTGGCCACCGCCCTCTGCAGCCTGCCCCGCGCCTGGGCCCTGTTTCCACCCAGGTCAGGGGGGGACAGAGGAGGTGGGAGGAGGCCACAAGGCGGGGGGTGGGGGTGTCCTGTTGGGGGGAGAGCCTCCTGATGCATTACCCATCCTCCTTCTCTGCCACTCCCCCCCCAACCCCCCAGTGATGACTATGATGACACAGACGATGACGATCCTTTCAACCCTCAGGTACTGGACTCCTGGGTCTGAGGGAGGAGGGGCTGGGGGCCTGGACTCCTGGGTCTGAGGGAGGAGGGGCTGGGGGCCTGGACTCCTGGGTCTGAGGGAGGAGGGGCTGGGGGCCTGGACTCCTGGGTCTGAGGGAGGAGGGGCTGGGGGCCTGGACTCCTGGGTCTGAGGGAGGAGGGGCTGGGGGCCTGGACTCCTGGGTCTGAGGGAGGAGGGGCTGGGGGCCTGGACTCCTGGGTCTGAGGGAGGAGGGGCTGGGGGCCTGGACTCCTGGGTC